AAGTTGCATTCATCTCTGTCTGGTATCTACTAGAATTATTTGTTTTTGCAAGTTTCAGATGACCACATAACTCATCATGGTGACAGAGCCACAAGTGAATTCTAACTCCTATCGGAGAGTATCCAAAGGGTCACAAAAAGACTCTCTCCCTTAACATTTTTTCCCTTTCCACCACCAAATAAATAATCTCTATATATGGTATCCACTGCTTTTTTAAATATCAACGTTTCAGAAAGGAATAATAACACCAGAGGTGTAGAATTAGAATGCAAATGCACTAAAGTATTCTCTCTTTCCCAGGACTCTCCTCCGCCCTGTGGAAATCACTGGTTTGAATTTTAGGCATGGAGTGCTGCCTAATGGATTTAGTGTGCTTGTGCTTCACCTAAGACTGTGCGTCAAAGCTTAGGGGGAAGGGAGAGGGAGTCTACAGAGCTGCCATACCCAACTTAGCCTGGAACTGTGCTAGGTACAGACGACATTGAAAGGGACGCAATGCATTCGAAACCTCTCCACATTGTCTTTCCCACCGAGATCTGCAGGCCCGGGGGTCCAAAGGGCCATCTCAAAGGAACCGCTGGGTTATTAATTTGATCAGGGAGGCTGGCTCTTAGTGTGGGGGGAGGGGTGGGAATGGGAAGCCTGCATCCTTGCTGTTGCGCACCCCAACTCTCAATCTTACCCCCGGATCCTGAATTTTGCCCACCTCCCCTCTCATTACACCCCTAAATCAATGGAGCTAAAAATCAGTCCCTTTCCGCTGGTTTTCCTGAAGATCCTGAATTCCTGGGGTCTGTTAATTATTTTAAAATGTAGAGCGTTCCCCGGGTAGCTCCCGCCTGGACCGCCCCCCACCCCGCCGCCCCCACCCATTCTCTCTTCTCGGTCCCTAGAGAAAAGCCAGCTACATCCATTTGGATTTATGTAAGGTGGATTAGGGACACAAAGGGAACAATAAGACCCAATTTACAAAAAAAGGGAGGGAGTAGAAAGGGAGGGTAAAAGGGAGAAAAGGAAACGTGATGGGAATAAAAAGCAACAAAATGAATTAATTTTTAAGGGGGAGGTGGGGTCGGGGAGGGGGATAGACACCCCCTTCTTTTAACATTAGCCTAAAGCTCCTTCAGCGCTTTTTGTCTGGGGCTCCCAAGTTTTGCTTCCAAAAGAAAAAGCAAAAAAGAGGTAAAAATAAAGAAAACAGTCTCTACGTCTGGGGCGAGAGAGGTCTCAGGAGACGGCCTAACAAGTGTGCGAAGCAGCCAGGAGAACGCAGGATCCACGATTCCGCTGAAGGGAATGACCCTAGGGACGGAGGGGCGACGGGCTGCCCAGATGGCAACAGAAGCCACGTCGGAAGGAGAGGGGGAGATGGAGAGCGCGAGAGAGCGCAGCGCCCCTTTCCTCCCTCCTAAGCAGTGTCTGTGGGCAGGTATATGAATCTCTCCGAGCCTCCGTCTGGAGAGTTCTGGGTACCGGCTGCCCAGCCAAGGCTAAGTTGGTTTTTGGCTCCCTCCTTCGGAACAGGGAAAATGATAGATTACACAAGGATGAATGGACGAATACCTGGAGAGATGGAGCGATGGATGACTGGATAGATGGATGGATAGATGGATGGATGGACGGATGGATGGACGGATAGATGGATGGATAAATGTATGGATAGAGGAATAGACGGATGGATGGATGGATGGATGGATGGATGTAGGAAGGGGGTAAGAATCGGAGAGATGGATACAAGGCTAAATGCACACAGGCTGGAACATGAACATAAGCTGGAACACACGCGCACACATTCAGGACACTTGCTGACGGACACGCAATTATCCGCGTCCGTTTCCAAGCAGGCACTCGCGCACCTACATGCACGCATTTTCGCGCGCGCGCGCACACACACACACAGATATACGCGCACACACGCGCACACACACAGCGTCTGTGTGTGCTCTTCTCAAACTCTATGTTCTTCTCGCTCTCTCCACATATACACATATAGACACACAGGCTCATATAATCCTCCCAGCATGTCCGAATAGACGCACAGAAAACTGCGCACCCAGACGGGTCGGGTCAATCCTGCACGTTCCCTCCAAACTAGCCCAGTGTACAATTCTGGGGCGAAAAGCGAGAACTCGACTACGTTCAACTTGCCGGCGGGTTCCCCAGGTCTGCAAGGTGATCCGAGGAGGTCGGGGCCCCATTAGACCACAGTCACAGCCCCGGGGCGCGGAGCTCGGTGAGGAGAAAGGTGTCTGACGCTGGGTGCTAGAAATCAGGTCACTGGCCCCCAGAGAGAGGCGCCACGACCGCTGCGCTGCCGAGGCCCGGCAGCCGGGTCCCCGGAAGCGCAAAGCTCGGGAAACTTTGCAGAAACCAGAGCTCGGAAGGCTTTCGCTAAAACACAGGAGCACCAAACCCTCACTCCGCCCCAGGCTTGCGTTTCCCCGTCGCCCGGGACTGGTCGGGGGAAGGACGTGGTTCACGAATTTTCTTTTTTTTTTAAATCCTCGTGTTGGCTCCAGTGCATCCCCTTGGGGAGCCTCGAGCGGGCCTCACAGGCGGATGCAGATAAACTTTGGCCTTTCGTTACAAACTTGGGTAGACCCGCTTGCTTGGGTCACCGCCTCGGGGCAAGCCGCCCGGTCGCTCCCCGCCTCCCCTTCGCGGATCCCCTCGCCGCGGCCCCCTTCTCTGGAGTCGGGACGCACGGCTCGCTCCGGGCTCCCCCCAACACCAGCCGGCCTCGCGCTCCAGTGGACCATTCGCCCACGGATCGTCCCTGCTCTGACCTCGACCGCAAAAAGGCCACCCGACTCCTACCTTCATTTGCGGGGTACACCCTGGAACCAGTGACAGCTTCACAAATCCCAAAAAGAAACGAAAAGAGGACGAAATAGAAAATCCCAGCCATGGTTCGCTGGTGCCAGCGCTGCTCCTGCCGCTTCTATCCCAGTGGAATAAATGCTTAAGTTAGGAGTGCAGCAGGCTGAAGACATTGCCAAGGGGGTGGGCCCGGCCCGTGACGTAGGCCCGTCAGTCCGGGGCCTGCGGCCAATGGCGGCGCAGACAGGGTAACCGCGGCCCCGCCTCCACCGCGCAGAGCCCGCCCCCAGGTCCTGCCCCCTCCGGGCTCCGCGGGGCGCGCGGTCTCCCGGAGCTGGAAGGGGGCGAGGGCTGCGGGTCCCCCGTCCCCGCCCGCGGGAGGAGGCCGGCTGGGTCCCCCGCGTCACCTCAGGGTCGAGCCCCTGGACGGCAAAGGGAGCTTCGAAAGGCTGTGAATTGACTGGGGGGAGCGGGAGAAAAGGTTGGCAACCTCCCCCCTACACACACGGGAGGTTCGAGATGGAGGGAAAGGCTCTTTTATTGAAATAAAATAAGTGTAAAGTTGACCTGCCCCTCTGCTGTCGCTCCTCTCCGGGGGCCGACGTGTTGCGTCCCGCGCGGCCGGGCCGGGGCTGCACACTGACTGCCACCGCCACCCGCTGCTGCCGTGCCCGGCTGTGCCTTTACGGCGCTCCTCGGTCCGAATCGCTCTTTGCGGGGAGTTTCGTGGCTCGATCACTCGTTTCTTCCCCGGCTCCCCAGCCGCCTGGAGAGCGGGGACTTACTCGGTCCCCAACGTCCAGTCCGCAGCAGGGCTCAGGCCTCCAGAGACTGAACAAATGACTTTCTAGCAACGAGACAGCCCCCGCTGGCCCGGTCGCCTTGCGCGCCCTGCGCGGGCCCAGGACGGGACTCCAGCCGCTCGCAAGGCGCCCGAGACAGCCCGGCCGCAGGGAACCGACTGTGCGTTCTCCGGGGGACAGACGGGGGATCTCTGGAACCAGCCTAGCGATTCCGGGCCGCGGGAGGTAGGGGCGGAGGGTTTAAGTGTGAGTGCGGGACCCGCAGCCGCACAGACCACGCACACGGGGACTCGGACCTGCCCAGAGCAACTGCCGCAGCCGTGCGCTCCGACCGCTTCCCTCCGCCGGTCGGGACAGCCTCCCGGCCCCCGGAGTCGACGGTGAGCGGCAGGACCCGCAGAAACCCGCGCGGCTGCCCCTGCCCCGGCCCCGAGGTTGTCACTGACGACCTCTCGGGGTGCTGGCACCATCTCGCCGCGGTCTGTTCCCAGATGCCCCGGCCACGGGCGCAGCCACCTGAGCGCTGCCCAGCGACGGCTGCTCAGCCGGCGTCCGGGGAACCGGTCCCCAAAGCGACTCGGTGCTCGGATTCTTAGTGACGAAGCCTCCCTGCCTGCTCTCAGACTTCCCCTCCTCTGGCTCCCTGGAGGACAGGGCCGGGTTTTCCTCGCGAGCCTGGATCCCAGTGGCAGGGCGACCGCGGGGAGGTGGAAGCGCCTGGCCAGCCCGGGCAGTGGCTCATCGTGAACCAACTGCGCCACCTGCCGGCCAGATGCGGGAGTGCGCGGCCCCGAGGAAGGACGCGCGGACAAAGACCGCGACCGACCGCCCGGCCGAGGGATGGTACGTGTCGGGGGCAATCTTTTTATCCACCCGCCCAGGTCCCGCGCACGAGGGCCTCTCCTGCCGGGTGGTAGCGGGCGGCAATTCAGAGGTCTCGGAAGTCTGTAGAGCCTCTCGCCAGCTGGATTGCGAAAGATGGACCCGGAAAACGTTTCAAGGAGAAACTCGTTGCAGTCAATGTTCGAGGGAGGGCTTGCTTGGGTAGCTGCAGGGTGTAGGACGGCGTGGGGGAGAGAGGAGATCGCGAGTCCCTGGCCGCGGTTTCAGGGCATTGGCCTCCGCAGCAGAGCGCGTTTCCCCCTTGGCCCGAGGGCTGCATTTGGTTTCTTATGCAAACTCAGCCCCGGGCTAATAACATGGGCAGCTTTCACTTTCACAGAAGACGAGCGCTCTGGGCGAGCGGCTGTGTGAGTTGGTGGCCCAGAGGGACAGCTTGTGCCGCTCTGGGCATTTCGGTTTCTAGGTGAAAGACCCGCTGAAATGTCACCGTCCTAAGGAGTGGATTTCAGTTATTGTAGCTACTGATTTTACTCAAGTAAAAAGGGGGGACGGTGTGCACTCAGGGGATATATATGTGTGTGTGTGTATAAATTATTTAAAATAACTGCACTAAGTCCCTTTAAGAAATGCATTTCTAGGTTCTTTCATGTGTCTTTCTGAGTTTTACAGTAAAAGAAGATGAATATCGGTCCCTGTCATTTGGCACACAGATTCAAAAGAGAAAAGAGCAATCGAATTCTTTTTAAAACCATTTTAAACAATAGATGCTGGTTGCCGCTCTGCAGGAGCTTGAGTTTTGCTTGTATCTGTGGTTGAAATGGGAAACTGACTGCCGGCATTGTTAAAAACAATAAAATTTCTAAGATGTGTACCATTTTTTCCCTAGCATATGCACACTGAATATTAAACAAAGTCTTTCCAGACACAGTTGCCTGAGAACAAGGCATCATTTGCTAGAGTACATTCCCCGACTTCCCCTTTTTTCTTCCTATTTTTCGTTTCGGGCCCCAAAGCAGCCCAATAAACAGCAGAACCAAGAAGCAGGAAATGCTAACTCGGAAAAACTGAACTATAACTTCCTCTGTAAAGCTTTTCTGGGCTGTAGATCAGCAATGAGCTGCTGAAAATGCCTCTATCCATTGTGATTACCTACAGGAAAACTGTTGTAACCTAACAGACACCAGTCCTTCTAAGAATTGGGCAAAAAATTCTAAAAAAACATGGTGGCCCTGGTCCACCCACCATCAGTGCAGAACCCCACCCCACCCCAAAACATTGTCAGAAAATACCCTGGAATTTTCAAATGTCTGGGAATGTTCACAATAAATCAGTGGAGTCAGAAGGATACAATAGCATACCATACTTTCAAAAAGTACCTAAAATCAACAGCTTTTAAAATAAAATAGCTCGACTCTGGAGTAAAACAAGTCCCTCACTGCTGTAAGAATTCGGGGTTACTTTGAATGCAGTATGTCAAAATACAAATGCTTATAAGCTTAACGAAAATAGTAATTATAATAAATAATTTGAAAACATTGGTATACTATTTTTGTACAGCGCTTACCACTAAGACTTGGGCTACAAAGTACATTGTAAATCCTGAGTTGAATTAAGATTGAATTTCAAAGGTATTTCCAATCTGTAGAACACATTTTTAAATAGCACCAAGCATCCCAGGGTTTCCACCTCTAAGCGGAGGGCCAGTTTCACCAAAGCAATGAGAAAGGGGCCTTTGACCTGTGCACAAATGAACAATGATAAAGAGGGTGGAAGACTAGGGAGAAGGTGAGAATGAGAAGATGAATCCACTCTCCTTTTTTCTAGATACTATGGCAGATTTTCTAGCTAGTTTTCCTGGACTACCTTGGACATCAGTCTTTTTATCAATAAAATGGAGCATGTCCATAATGCTCCGGTGACTCCCTGTCTCTTCCAGAACCAGGGTTTTCAACTCAGACAACCACGGTTTAATATTTTAGCTGGCCTTTTGCTAGTTGTGTGTCTCTGAGTAAGTTACTTAGGCTCTCTGGGATATGGTTTTCTAACCTATAAATTATAGCAAGTTAACATAATATGATTCTTCTAAATAGCGAATGAATCTTGTAGAGCTCACAATATGGTATCTGGCATGTGGTAGACAGCTGTTATTCCCCTCAAATAATATGTAATTAATAACTATTAACATAATTAAAGGATAAATCATTTATTTGGCTTGAATTATCCCTTGCACAAGGAAACCAAGCACTGTGATTCACCTTTTGTGCTCTGTAAGAAGAGAAAGCTTTATTTTATCAACTCCTGGAGTGAGGAAGGGTCATAATTCTAAATTCTCCCTTTCTTTCATTGTTGATTTATGACAGCTTACATCCAACTCTTATATTCCTAGATGATTCAACTGGATTTGAACCTAAAGATTGTACCTGTCTTCAAATAAATAGTTTCAAAAATAAGTGAAACAAGATGTGAGGAATCGAAAGTCCCACAAGCAAGTGATAACAAATCACCAAAGCTCCACCCAAGGAAATTTCCACCTTTGTTAGAAAATGCTCCTACCACAAGCTACCCTCTTAATATAGTGACCTGACACAACATTTGGTGGGCTCCCTGAAGCCTCCAGGAAACCCAGTTGAAGATTGTATCCTTTGATGTCAAGGCTTTCATGCTGTTTCTTATGCAAATAAGAAGCTGGACTCTTATGAGCCCTTTACACCAGAGTGGGAGAAATGGCCACAGAGCTCAGGTTTTGGTGGATCAGGAAGGCGAGAGAGCAAGACAAAGCCAGAACCCTTCCAAGTGACAGAGGCGGAAAGGGGCCTACAGGAAGATTGCAGTTCTTAAGGGGGCAAGACTTTTTCTGAAAAGTTTTTTGTTCAGTGCCATCTTTGAATGTAATTCAGTATTAATGAACATTTTTCAAATGCCTACTATGTACCAAACACCACATGTTGAAAACGTTACAGGTTTCTTCTCAGCCCTGACCATGCATGATGCCCAATACGTGGGGATGTGGGAGCCAGGCAGAAACCAGCAGGAATCTTGGCATGTCCTGGGGCCTGAGGGAGAAGGGGAGAGAGAGCGTTGACACGTGCCAAGATGTTCAGTGCAGTCCTGCAACATCTCTGTATCCCTGTAAGGAATATTTTGCAGAGACAATGCATCTTTCTGGAGGAGAAATTAGAGATCATTTGAATCTGGTTTTGGCTGCATTGGGAAGATGAGTTAAACATCAGAACTATTTTATTTTTTAGGCATGACAGCCAGGCCCCAAAAGAAGCGTAAAATGCTTTTTACTTTCAATACCACAGCTATGAAATAAGGTGCATTCATTCTAACTCAAAATGCTAACATAAAGCTATAAGCCACAGCTATTATATATTTTAGCTATTAAATACTTTAATATTTAATATCTAGATAAATTTATGGTTATCAAAAGAGCTTTTGA